ATTTATGACGACTAAAAAAATTGAAAAAAGAATTCAAAATAGAATATATAGAAAACATATTTGATACTTATTGAAAGGATATTATTTTATAAGGATACCGTATCTGCATAAAAGAGAATATTGCTTTCTTTAATTAAAATATTCTATTTAATATTTCAAATTGTAATATATTCAAAAAAATTAAACTTTTTGTTATTTTCTTTGTGATATGTTAACATTAGGAAAAATAAATTAGATCTGTTTTTATACTTAATAGAATTTCTAACCTCATAAAACTTCCTAACCTTAACTCTTAATGTGTTTCTTTAAAATTGAATTGAATAGCTATTGACTTAAATTCCAATATTACAATTTTAATATTGAAGAAAATCTTTTATATAGATAGAAAGGCAGCATAGAATTTCAATATATTCAAAGTAAATGAATTTTCAGAAATTTAAAATAGAAAATTTTAACCAAGAAAGGCAAAATATTCCTTGCATGCCACCTTGAATTCATTTCCCTGCCTTGCTAAGCTCTGAATCTACAAATTTCAATTACACAATTAAATATTTCATTAACAGAGTTATAAATTCGAGGAGGCGGACAAGAGATATGTACGCATAATTTCTTACGCTAACTAAATATTCAACCATTCTTATCCACTTATTCACTCATTCAATTGTCTTTCCCGACAAATAATCAATGAAACAATATTTCCAATGGTTCGCTCGTTCGTTTCGCGTTTTATTAATGATTGTAATTACAGTCAGTCACAAAAAACTTTATACGAAAGAAAATTCATTATTAAATTTAACTTAATTTTAATAAAAAAAAAAAAAAATGTAAAAATTTTTATCTTTCTCACATTTCCATTATTTTTTCATTCTTTGAATACAATTTTACTTTCCTTTGAAATACTTATGACAAGGAATGAATATTTCATATATTTAATTTTATTTTCTCTCAATAATAATTAAATTTAAAAAGTAAAAAAAAAAAAAAAACTAAAAAATTAAAAATTGATTTTCTTCAATATTTTGTATGTAAATCACATAATTTTATTTTCAATAAAATAAAATTATTTATTATTTTTAACAACACAACTTATTAACTAAATTTCATTTGAGATGAAATTTGTTATCGTTGTACATTTGAAATTAATTTAAGATTAAATTAAGATTTTTGTGGCTAACTGTATATAAATTTTTCAAACAGAAGTTATGAAGTATTCACTTTTGTTCTATTATTCAACGCTTTATCCACTTTTTTTTTTTGGAACACTTAAGTTATTAACGCTACGACATACAAAAGATAAGGCCGCCACGATAATACACTGACTAGATCAGTTTCATTTACTCTCTTTTTCTTTCTCTCTATCGCGCTCGCTCTCTCTTCTTTTGCACACACTCTCTCTCTCTCTCTCTCTCTCTCTCTCTCCGTGTGTATATGTATGTGGTGTACGCGCGCATCGCGCATGTGTGTAGACCACCGTTCCAATTCTTTTTTTTCTTTTTTTCTTTATCAACAAAAATATTCAGGACACGGTGTATTTCTTTCAACAAAATATACTATGTGTCTTGTTTTGTATCCTTAATAAATCTATGACACGCAACTATTAGCTGCGCGTTGGGGAAGAATCTTTCGCTCGATCGAAAGTGTTAATTAATTAAAAACTTGTATAAGCACAGTATAGGCCCTGATGAATTCTTTCTAACTTACTAACTTATGCGATATTGTACAAAGAAAAGACGGCACAAGAATAATACAAAAAACATAAAACATAAATCATCAACTATTTTATTTTTATAAAATGGCTATAAAAAGTATTTGCACATTTTATTATATATTTCATTTAAGTATAGAATTTTTAATTGCAAAAATTTCTTATCATTTAATAATATCTTTATATAATTACAAAAATTTAATATTATGAAGGTGAAATATGAAACCTGATAAAAAGACTTAATTAGAAAATAAATGTACGTACTTTTTATAGCCATTATGTAAAACAATGTTACGTAGGAATGGATACACAAAATTTCAAAATTTTTTAAAAATCGAAAAGTTTAAACTTCATATTTGTTTTAATTAATACAATTTCATCGATCTATTACAATAACTTATAAACAAAAAAAAAAAAAAAAGAAAGAAATTAAAAAATAAAAAGTAAAAAATAGAAATAATTTTTTACAAGTTCAAAAAATTTCAGAAATCAAGATTCAGAAATTAAAATTTTAATTTCTAAAAAAAAAAAAAAATATTTTGAATTTTAAAAGATTCAAATTCAATCTTCACGAATTTAAAAATTAAGTTTCAACTCGTCTCTAATTTAAAATTTTTTTTAAATTAAACGTTTCTTTTTCCTTTCTACTTTAAAAAAAAATTTTTTAAAATGTACCGCCTTTCATTGCATATCGCCATAGTTTTCCATGTTTACCTCAACATCCTTGTTCTTAATGCAAGAGCAACGCGGCTGAACAATGTCAACTTCGAATATCGGCGTCTTCGAAAAGTAACGCGGTACAAACCAAGTAAGAGGAGACTGTTAGGAATCGATTACAATGTAAAATTTCTTTACAATGTAAAATTAAAAAAAATTTTTTTTTTTTCGAGCATAGATATAAATACAAAAAACGGGAAATTCATATTTCAATTTTCTATGATCGCCATTTAATAATCGATAAAAAGTCGGTTGACGTGGATAAGGACGGAGGTGGCTAACTAGGAACTGCGAGGCACTGCAAAAAGGTAAGAACATGAGCAGCGATTTCTATTGGCAATCGAATGCCGCAGTCTCAAAAATGAAACGTGTATTGCTTTCTTCTCGATCGTTCTAAAACTTTTTTCATTTCACCTCTTCTTTTTCTTTTCTAAATAGTACGTCCTATAAGGAAAAATATGATAGTTTTAAAATTCTTAAGTATTTTGAATTAGAAAACGCAAGAAACGTTCCATTTTCGTGCAAAGAACTATTGACGTCTAAAAGTGAAAGAATCATTTTTTAAAATTGATCTGTTATCGGATCGAGTATAAAGATATTTTTTAAAAGTGCACTAGCGAGAAAAACGCTCGAACGATGGTCGCACGCGAAAAGAGGAACTCGCGCCGACAGCTTCAAACAATAGTCGTGTAAGGACATCAATAATGTATGTAGATTATCAAAAAAGATCACAGTCGGGTTACTAGATTTTTTTAGAGAAGCGTCCGCTGAACTTCAATAATTGACCGTATTTCCATTGGATTTGAAAAACCGGATAACTCGAATTTAAGTAGTTAATACTGACCCTGTTCAAATCCCTTTAAACCATTTCAAAGTCCAATGAAAATATAATCGTTCATTCGATTCCCCTAATTTTTCTTTCGCATGCGACCCGACCTTACTTAAGCGTTAGACCTTACTTCCTCCTCTGATCGTTACTTTTCTCCAATATTTTCGTCGCATCGATATGAGCCGCCACTCTTCAACAATTTCACAATCGTCGAAGCGTTTCTTCTTTATAGACACCTGTGTTTCGCACAGTGATTCCACAGATATCGGCAGAGAGAACCAAGAAACCCTAAGGAACGAATTCTACGACGTGCAAGTGACGTGTATCACTTTTTGTCAAACAAGGATAGTTTGCTGCGCACAGCACCCTCGCAAACGACCAATCTCTGCGCAGCTGAGATGTTGCACAGTGGTACAGGACCCTCCAAGCTGGCCTTAAGCAAGGTTAATCTGCTGGAGCCGGCATCGTAATCGGTTAAACGCAAGCTACCAGCCTGTTTTTTCTCAAAATATTCGACTATCTTGGAGATTGTTTTACTGGAAGACCCTATGCCGCTTAATCTGTCCTCCCAACAGGAATCACCACCACCTAGGCTGGCTATGTCCTCGGAGGAGTCGGTGTAAATGGAACTGGTTCGATGATCATCTAATAAGAAAAGACTGCTCGCAGCAGAACTGCTTAGAGTGGAGGTATGACGACGATTTGGTGGCTCTGGACTGAGATCTTCACCTACGCAGCTCCAGAAACCTGATTCGCAGCTGCCGCGCCTTCTTGGCTCCCATCCGTCTCGGAAAAGCGGATGCATGAACAAGCTGGCTGCGCCTACCTTCGTGGCCACCTGAAAAATTGTTTTAAATGTAATTAAACATATTAAAATGTTTTTTTATATTTATTTTTAATTTTTAATTTACTAATTAATTAGAACTAGACACGTTAATTATTATTTAATTATTAATTTGTAAATTAAGATTAATTTTATTATTTTAATTAAAATAAAGATCATTGTAAAGTTGTAAATATTAAGTTGTAAAGAAAAGGAAAATGAGAGAAGAAGTTTTTCAAATCTTCAAAAGAATGCATTATTTGTTTCTTATTAATCTTATATTTTCAAAGTTACTCATGAAGGTTTGAAATTTTTTAATTGTCTTCATGATTAACTAACCTTTTTTTTCATCAAACAACTGCAATCATGTGGACCCAAAAACTGAGAATATGGTAGCTTTCTTATTGGCTTAAGTTTTTAGTCTGAAAAGATCGCAGTTGACCAACTCCTTACAATTTATGTTCTAGGACTTAGAATTGAAATTAGGATCAAAAATCAATATCAGGACTTTAAACTTAGGACTTAAGATCTTTTTCAGATCTATTGCAAATTGGCTAATTAAGATTTAAGATTTAGAACTTAAGATTTCTTTTTAACTCATTGTGACTAAATAATAGCTAAAAATAAAAAAGGTAGTAATAATAAGTCTATAATAATAAATGATCTAGATTAGTCATAAAAACAAATTTTTTATGATCTAAATTTGGATTTAAAAACCATAAATATTATTTATATATTATAATTATTTCAAATAGTATATTTTAAATCTTTTTAAAATGTTTGCAAATTAGCTATTAGAACTTAAGACTTAAAATTTAGAATTTGTTTTTGATTAATTGTGATCAAAAAATAAGCTAATTTAGAAGATCCTAAATCTTAAATTCTAACCTCTTTAACTCTAACCTCTTAATATCTTATCATAAATAAATTGGCCAAATACCATTTTTTCAGAATAATTGATTGCAGTTATTGTTTTTTTTTTATGTCCTTTTGCAGATTTTAAAAATTGCTTCTTCCATCATTGAATTTTGCTATTGCTCCAATTCTTCACACAAATCCATTTTTCTTTAAGACAAATTATGACTTACTATAGAATATATTATATATACTGGCTTTTAATATTTAAATCACAATTAAACGTAAAAAAAAAAAAAAAAAAAAAAAAAAAAAAAA